CGAGGCTGGGGGAGGGGGGCGCGGCTCAGCTGGGCAGGCTCCACGGTGGGGCTGGGTCACGCTTGGGTCCTGGGCCTGCTGCGCCTCAGAGGCCCTTTCGCTGCCGAACTGTCCCGCACGGCCTGTCCCCTGCCCTAGGGCCGCTCTGGCACGGTGTGGAGCCGCTGCCACGTGCTGCTTGCATAAGAAACCCTGGCCCCTCGTAAGGGGCAATGGGGCGCTGGCTCTGCCACCTACACATGCCCAAGCCCGTAGCGCAGCAAGCGCGTTGCAGCGCACAAAGCCGCGGCGCCTGGTACCCGTTCTGGTCCCTCCCCCTGGAGCACCTGGCACTGGCCGGTGCCAGGACCTGGGCGAGACGGGCTTTTGCTCTGACCCAGACTGGCCGCTCTTATGAGCATGGCTAGAAATTTAAGAATCAAATTGCTGAGCCCGTGGGCAGCAAATCGGCCAGCTCTGTTACACGGCGTACCGGTCATGTGCAGGCCCGCACATGGGTATTTCTGGAGGGATTGGGGGGGAGGAGCTAGCGGATGCCCCGCCCCTGTGGCCCAGCCCCGCCCCCAGCCTTGTTCACAGGAGAAGGCAGAATCAGCCCCAGCCTTCTCTGGCTGGCAGGAGCATGGGGGAAGGGAGGGGAGGGCATACGTGAAAAATGCAAAACACTGGGGTGACCTGAGGTGCTGACGGCCACGTTTGATGCCAGCCAACAGCGGCAGCACCCTGATCCCTGCTCTCCCATGTGATTTCTGCTTTGCTGGCCCGGCCAGGCCTTGTCAGTCCAGGGAATTGAGCGCCAGCGCTGGGGCGCACACATGGGCACTCAGCAGTCAGCCCCACAAGCGTGACGAGGAGCGCCACGTTACAGGATATAACCACGCCAGGGCTGGCCCCAAGCCCAGCGGCGGCCATGCGCGCGAGGCGTCGCACCGAGACGCGGAGCCCAGCCCGCCTTTACACACTGCAACTCACAGCCGCTGTGGGCTAAAGAACGGTCACGTCCCTGAGGCCCAGCCCCAAACGCCTTCATGTGGCCCGGCAAATAGGGACACGGGCGCAGGCTGCAAAAGCATTGCCAGGGCCCGAGGGAGCGGGCAGGAGGAGGAATGGGAAGTGGCAGGAAAGGCACCTTTCCAGATTGTTCTGCGCTGAGAGGGGCTGAAGGCGGGAGGGGCCAAGGCTCAGCCCCACAGCCCCGTGGGTCCCCTCTGTGACCCCCGGCTGAATCTCACTGTGCACCCATCTAAGATGCACCCCCTCCTCTTGCAGGCTGATGAGCACATGCTTGTTAACGAAGGGCAGGTGCCCCTCTACTGCAGCGAGGGGGCTGTACAAACACCAGGGCTGGGTCTAGACTGGCAAGTTTTTCCGCAAAAAGCAGCTGCTTTTGCGGAAAAACTTGCCAGCTGTCTACACTGGCCGCTTGAATTTCTGCAAGAGCACTGATGATCGCATGTAAGAAATCAGTGCTTCTTGCAGAAATACGATGCTGCTCCCGTTCGGGCAAAAGTCCTTTTGCACAAAGTTTTTTCACAAGCGGGCCAGTGTAGACAGCTCAGATTTGTTTTGCGCAAAAAAGCCCTGATCACGAAAATGGCAACCGGGGCTTTTTTGCGCAAAAGCGCGTCTAGCTTGGCACGGACGCTTTTCTGCAAAAAGTGCTTTTGTGGAAAAGTGTCCGTGCCAATCTAGACGCTCTGTTCCAAAAATGCTTTTAATGGAAAACTTTGCCGTTAAAAGCATTTGCGGAAAATCATGCCAGTCTAGACGTAGCCCAGGAGTATGGAAGAGGGCAAAGAGGCCGGGGCGGGGGGGGAGAGAGAGCGAGGTGGAACAGGGGAAGGTAGCAGATTAACATTTCACTGTGCATTAACCTGACAGAACCAGTTGCTGGTGGAAGAGGCGATCTATCTGCATCCCTAGTCACCTAAGATTTCCCTCAACTGGGGTATGGACACAGCGCCTCTTCCTTGGGGTGTCTGCCATGCCAGGCAGGCTGGGGCTGGCACGGTGTGATGGCTTTGATCATTTCTCTCCCCTTCATGGACTCTATGGTGGGCACTAAGGGGCTATGCTCGCCCCTATGCTTGTTATACTCCTAGAAGAATTCTGCACCCCTGCACCTGTGCAGAATTCATGTCCCCCGCAGATATTTTTCCCACATTCAACTGGGGAGGTGCTGCAGCTACACCTTTTGCCCACCAAGGGCTGCTGTGGCTCCAGCCGAGAGGGCAGGGTGGAGTAGCCAGCCGCCTAGAGGGTGGAGAAGAGGCTGCCAGGGGCCAGGCGAGGTGGTACTAAACATGGGGGAACACATGGGTGGACACAGACTGGGGCAGGGGCCCAGGAGCTATTAAGGTGCCAGGATTGAGCCAGGGGCTTTGGGTCTGTCCTCCAGAATCCCTGCCTCTCTGGAAATTTCAGGCGCTCTGCTGGAGCCCCCTGCTGGCAGCTCCCAGACACTTTCCTGCTGTAAGCAGGACCTCCTTGGGGCCTGGTCCAGCCCTAATCTTCCCTACCAGCACATCTGGAGCAGTCGCACAGCTGGCGAAGAGGAAACTGACTGAAATTCCCAGCGAGGGGGGGATGCTGGAGGACCGGTCAGCAGTCAGTCACTGATTTCTAGGATCAAGTCTCTCCGGAGCCCCCCCAATACACACCTCCTGCACCGCGAGAAAGAAGGGAGCAATATGAAAACGCAGCTTATTTGATGGCACCCACATCG